TACTTTTTATTCTTCTGAATTGTTCCTGAATTGCCTAATTATAACTCCACGGATGAACTCCACAACTGCTGTCTAATCGAGAAACTACACAGGGGTGTTCGATATGTGCCACCTTGTGCCATTCCTGTGCTGAGGGCCAGCAGTGAGGACGTGCAGCTGTCCAATCTCACTAAAATCTATAGCACCAAAGAATGAAGAAATGGTTATTTGGGGGTTATAGGTGGTGGATATAACAGATCCTTCCAACGTCTTGAAATATCTGGACCGGCTGTGAGAATATTTTGTATTGGATGCTATAGTATGATTGACCACTTTTTGTTGTTTGAGAATAGGGATGACGATGGAGGATTTAAAGCAGAGGAGAACAGTCCGGACAGAACGGAACATGTCCAATATTTCTGTGGGCCCAGACCCTCAGGTCATTGGTGGAAGCAGGGGAGATGCAGCAGAAGGGGATTTTGCAGTGTTTTGCAGTGGGATTTTGCTTGTATATTTTTAACGTGTGTGTGTGTGTGTGTTAAACCGGATGTGTTGCAGTTTTGCCAATGTTTTACTAAGATTGGCCCTGGATGAAGTCCCATACTAAAATAAGTTTGGACTCCTGGTGCGCGGCCTCCTTCTCTGTATCCTCGACCCGCATGAGTTTAAATAAACACCCATTGGAACCAATGTAACCCAAATAGCCAACATCATTGCACAAGGAACTCTAGGTCGATGAAGACTATGGCTATGAAAATGTATGTGTTACTCTGATTGGCTTGTTTTCCCACAGAGCCCCCAAAAAACATGGTATTGGGGTTTGCATGGTATCAAAGTAAAATACATATCCTTTGTTTTGTTTTTTGGAGGCGTGAGTTTTGTGAGTGGATAGACAAGTAGATGATGGAGTTAACAATTCTGTGGTCTTGTGTGTATTTTCGTTTGAAAAAAATATTCACACTGCAGAAGTCAGCTTTCTTGGTGTCCATGGCAACTGTAAAAGACAGAAGGCAGTCCGTAGCCCATTTCATCTCTTCCACTCTCTTCTGTCAGCCTCCTCCACACCATCATTCTTGTTCTGTAATATGTTTTCTCCTCCCTCCATTGTAAACTAGCCCCTAATGTTTCCAAAAATTTGAATGTTCTCTCGACCTTTCTCCCCCCATTTATGTCTAAATCCGATTAATTTACTCCTGGACTGATCTATTTTTTGGTTTACCAGTCGGGATAAACAGATCAACATAATTGGGGCAGTCTTTATAAACACTGCACTCCCATAAGCTCTCTCGGCTTAAATGGAATGGGGATGGTGATCCAAAAATAATTTCAAATGATAATTTATGGATGGGTACATAGGAATAAATTAGTCTATTCCTAATCTACATCTTTAATCCTTGAATCAGCTAATCAATCAACTGTAGACTGTCGAACAAATGGACGGAAAATCATATTTTATGATTACACAATCAACAATTTGCACAGTGACAAAAGGAGGGGGTTCTATTGAGGACATCCCTCGTAGGACACAAGTGGGTGAGGCAACACGTTGTGTATCGTATTGCATCACTTGATAGAAAAATCTCATGGTGTATTGAAATGATTGGCGTGCTGATAACTATTTAAGCTTGCACAGTGATTACTTTCGATTGTCAAGTTTACCAAAGGCAGAAGTGATGTAGTATCAGTATCCACTCAAGATCAGCACAGGCAGTCAGGATTTAGACTAATGTGCACAGAGACCACAACACAATAAGGAGAATTTTGCACGGTTTAGATTTTCTTACAATGAAACAAAACAGCACAGTCACAAATGGACACATTGGGAAACAAAGTGGCCTGTAGACAAAAATGGGAATACATAAAGAAAGCCCTGACAATAAAAGGTACAGTAATTGATTGAACATTCCTGATAGCAAATACTGGTTTACATACACTGTAGGTTTGACGGTTGATAATCTGACAGAATGGGTGAACAGTTGGGGCTTAATTAATGACACAGCTGATGATTATCTGAACAGGAAAAAAGGGCAAAAACAAAACAATGGAAACTAAACAATAATAGGAAGTTGAGTAAAATGGACGTAGGTTAAATTATTAAATAATTTAAAATGTATACATATTTGTTGTTATTGTATCATTGTTTTATCCCTCTTTGCTTGCATTTCTCCTTCGGTCACAGACGTGGTAGGAGTGTCTGCCTCTGGCTTTGCAATACTGAGAAGATAATGTCAATTGAACGGCAGCTGCTGATATTGAATTCAATTCATTTGTCTCAGGGATCTGGTGGTAATTATTCCCTAAGCAAGTGTTTCACATTAAGCAAATGGGGTAATAAAAATGTTCCCTTCGTTTTTTTTAAATGTTTATCACAGAGGCGATCATCAACATTCAACAAAACAACACAAAAATAATCTTTCTGCTCAATTGTTTCTTCCAGTTTATCATATAAGGTACAAACAAAATGAATGTTATGGATCCAAAATAATTTGAATATACTGACTCACGACATTGAACGGCATAAATGGAGTTTTCTTAATGTTTGTGTGCAGACATGACAGGGAGAATTAGAAGCACCTCTTTTGGTAAATAAATCCATCAGCCACAGGTCATCAAGAACCATATATGTGACTAGATAAGTGTGGAAGGGATCATTACTTATTATTTTCCCTGAAATTTCACATCTGCTTCCCAAGCTTCTCAGCATTCTTTAAATCCCACAGTGTGGTTTGAGGAAAAGCCGTGGAGAGAAGAGGAGCAGGACGGGATAGAAATTTCTATCATCTCAATTGCTCTTTCTGTGCCTCTATTTCTCTCTTTGGGTGGAAGAGAGGCCTTGAGTGTTTGAGCAACTGGTCTCAAAAACCAAAAGGCACAAAGGCTGAGCCAATTCAAGTTATTCTGGTATGTGAGAGACAGTGTGAGATTGTGCTATGTATATGAAGAACATAATCTTGTAGGGTGTTACTGTGTATGGGGGTGGGTTAAGGATGGGAAAATACACCGAGTGAGTACAGAGACCAACTGGGATTTTAAAGACCATACAAGTAATGCCTATGGTTGACGGCAATGCCCTCATTTTAAATTACAACCAAAAATGTTTGGATACACCAAACTATGTAAATTTATGCTTCATTCACAGTTCACACGTCTGACAGAAGTATTTTTTACTTTGACATAAATATTGCAGAAACCGGTGAAAGAGTATTTGCACACAAGAGCAGGGAGAGTGAAGGAGACACAGGCGCAGACAATCAGGAGGGGGAGCTGCAATCAGCACAGAGGGAAGACAAGAGAGCATGGCGGTCAAGACATCTGATCTGGTTTTCTGGAAGAAAAAAAAAACGTTAGATAGCTCAGTTGAAACAACAAGAAAGTAAAACGCAAAAAAAACAGATAGCAGATAACTTGCGTGGTAATTAGAACGGTTCGAACACCGTGGCAGGTTAGATGATGGGAAAGGTCCCCATGGAGAGTGAGAGACTATTTAGTTACAGGTAACATAATGAGCCATTTAGGGGCAGCTGTGTAGGCAGACAGAGGGTCACAGGGGTAATAGACGTACGTGGGTATAGTTGGTCATGGCAAATGGATGACTACACAAGAAAGAGGAAACCAAGAGGATAAAAAGTGATCTAATGAACAATTGTTGTCAAGCCACCCCAAAAACCTGCCAGAGAGGCAGTGTGAGTTCCATCATATTATATGTTACGTGGGGGTTGAGGGAGATTATTCTACCAGTCCACCATCTTCACCTGTATGATTGGCAGACTGCAAGCAGCTTTGGGAATAAGCAAGTGTTGCTCTGCTAGACTCCATATTGCCTCAGGACGGTGCCCCCCAGAGAGAGGTTAACACCTGCCGAACCTGCTGGGGCTCGTGGGAGGACGCTCCAATAAAAAGGATTTGGCTGAGGCAGAGGAACATAAACATGCACCACATCCACCTCCTTATTGTTGTGCGACGGGTATGTTTGATGAAATGTGCTTTTGATTTATTATGATTCATTATTATGAATGTTTATTGTAAACAATTCTCAATAGCTCTTGACCAAAGGAATTCCATACATCATACCTACTTCTTCTTGTTGCACAACAGCTGTTATTTTCAGTAAATTGGTGAATGTCTAGTGGGAATAATGTTAATTAATGAATTAATTCCAATTCAATGTTTAACCACCCGGGGGTTGTAGTAAAGCAGTAATTAAGAGATCACAATCAGAAGCCATGTATTGCCACATATGTTACACAATGAGGAACTTGGCTTGGTGATTTGCTGCAATATAAGAATAACATTGAATAAAATAAAGTAAAATCAGAGAAAAATATACAAGCAAGATTTAACAATAACATTGTGAGTGACTTCCACAGCAGGCGCTCAGCTCGTGCACATGCAGCAGTCGGCTGCAAAACAGCTTTATTCATTATTCATTATTGTTAAGTTAAGTTGCTGAATAAAACAGCATTATTATTAGCTTGTACCTATTATTGTTCATCAGTTTGGTACCATGTTAACTAATTACCAAATATAATGCTTAAAACTATAATTCCTTAGAATGTCTAGGTTTACTAGTTAATAAGAAAATACTGTAACATATTCAATAATTCAATATGTTGTGTTTAAAAATATCTGATCATATGAAATGTGTTGTGTTTATATTACTTCTACACATAAAAATATGTGATCATAAACAAACATATCGACAAATGTCAAAACATATTTTTGCCCAGATGGACAGTCAATTTGAGTAATGTTATTCTGTATCCTACGTAATGACGCAGTTTTACGTTATCGTGTAATGACGTCATCACGCAATGGCATCACAACGTCATTTAGCAAAAAATTGACCTGAGCAGAGTTCACACCGAGGCTCGGTATGATGAGGAATTGGATGTGTGGCGGGAGTGCATGACTGTCTCGCTCAATGCGTGACACTTGAGAGCCCTGTATCATTTCCTGTTAAAAGACAGACAGTCCGTCTGTCCAATCAGAAGGGTCCGTCCTCTGCTATCTGCTACAAGGCCCCTACCCTTTCCGTAAGGAGTTAATTTCGTTGTGTTTTCCTATTTGCGGCTGTGTTTTGCACTTCAGGGCCACCGTAACAAGGCCCAGTTTAACATCTTGGTCCATCTCGCTTGCGTGTTCATGAAGAAATACATGCCAGAAGAAAGGGCGACTAAGTTGGAAAAGAAGCCCTCCAGCCGGAAGTTTCTCCACGTATCCCGATGTTGGGATTACAGAAACATGTGCAAGCTCTTGCCATACAAGCCCAGCCGTTTAGCGTTATTTATGCCTACAATCTTGAGTGTGTCACGTTTTTGTTACGTAGTTTGAGGACGAACAGCATCAATGCTGCCTCGGAGAGTGCCAGGAGGTTTTGCAAGATAGACTAAAAAAGACCATAACACATTTCAAAAGTGTGTCTCAGACAAGAGCTGCTCCAAAGGCTCTGAAAAACAGTTGACAAATTACAGATATTACTGCGAAGCGATCTTAGTACTTCGGCACTTTCAGCGTCCGGCAGTAGTGGAAGAAATGAGTTTGAGTTTACTGTATTTCTGCTGTCAAGTTACTGTTTCTTGTTCCCACAGTGGTTTGACGCGTACTATAAGTACATTCACCCCGAATACACAGATGAACACTGTGATAATTTCTTCAATGTCAAAAAGAATAAAAGTCTATAGCGTGACTAGTAACCTCAAGCGTCTGCATACGAGGCATGTAGCTAATTAAATCCATATTCTGATGAGTCACTAACTATATGTACCATATTAACAGACACAATACCATCACAACTATTTGTGTCATCTTTACTTGCGGCCTGTTACATGGCTCACCCCACCGCCATGGCACCGCATTGCTACAGGACGCGGACTGCAGCACGTGTGGTGGAGACATCTACACTGCTGGCAAAGTTGGCTGAGTAGGTTTCTTTCTCTTAAATGGACAGAACACATGAAAATAACATCTGAGAGTTGGTACCATGCTGTCTGACCTTGTGATCATTTTGAAATCCTTATTTTCCTCAATTTTACAGCGATTCCATACAAAGCCAGTAGCCCGGGACTCCTCTGCAAGAAGTCCTCGCTCCAGCCAAAGGATATGAGGATTTTACCTTTCAATTTCCTGTGACAAATGATGGCAAGCCCCCATCCAAGAAGCGGAGGATTGCTTATGATATGCGGCGAGGGGAGCAGTATATCAAGAGATCAAACATCTGCTGTGTAAGTACCCCAATCCATAAAGAACTTACACCCAGCAATTAATTTAGTTCATTAATAAAGATAATAATAAATAATAATAATAATAATAATAATAAAGATGATTAATAAAGATTAATTCATTTAGACTTAATATATTTGTATTCTTTCCATCAGCATATTTCCAAACTCGCAAGCCATTACCCGCGATGGTCTCCGGCTATACTGAGAAGCAAGGGTGGAGGAACGACCACCCCGCAGTGGATGAGTTTTTGAGAATGTGGAAGAAAGCCTCGAGACAAAAAATTGAGGGTGACAAGCATATCGTAAAGAGCGTGGTCACACAGAAGTGGAAGGGAGATTCTTTCAAAGACTTTGGTGGAGAAAAAAAAGGGCGCAGTAAGAACACAATTACCTTTCCTTGTAAAGGGAGACCCTGAAATGAACATTTTAGGCTCTTTGCATTCACCCATTCAAATCTGGTTATGCAGTTTATATTTTGAATACATAATGTTTATGCAGCTGATATTTAAAAATAACCTGATACTTTCACGTTTCTTGATTACAGGAGTGATTGCAATCAAGCCCTTTTTTACAAAGGCATTGTATGCGGCTGCCATAGTGAAATTATCACAGCCAATGTCGGGAATCAAATGATGGAGACCATAATGGACAAAGCTCCACACATGCTATTCTTTAAGAGTCAGGATCTCTGCGTTGATAGCCGTCCGTGCAAGTGCCATCCGGGAATGGAGACGGTTGGCAGATTAATCAATCGTGCCAGCAAAAACCTGAGGCCGCTTCACCGTGTCTTGAGTATTGATGTAAAGGTCAGCAACATAATCCTCTTAAAGGCCCGAAAAGACGTGGACGAGGAACTTGCGTTTCGGCTTCCTCACATGGGAGACTCGCTAGAGGAAGAGATACTACCTGGCGAGGCTACATTCCATCAGGACCAAGGCCCTGCAAACAGTCCCCCCCCCCGTCTGCAGATGGAACAAAGCCTGACAACGTTCACTCCCCTGCACGTAGCCGTTACACTTATGCTACACTTGTTATATTACTGGTATCTGTACAGTTTCTATGTGCTGCTATTTTAATTTTACTTACTTACTGTGGACACTGGACTAAAAGTTGTTCATGTCACCTTTCCCCTGTTCCTCATTTATTGGGGCGATGCTAAATTCAGCTGATTTATTTATTTATTTCTTTGATTACAGATTACAGAATATTAGAAAACGCAATACGTTTGATATTTGGATATTGAAACATATAAATAAAGTTCTGTGTGTCTGACCGAGTCAGTATGATTACAGACAAGTCGTAAAAACGGTTACATAACGGAGGTCAAAAATGTGTAATTGTGTCTGAAAGACTGACACGCGGCAATGGGCAAAGCCAGAAAAATCCTTTAGCAAAGCATGTTTCTAGGGCTCATATTATATTTAACATACAGTACCCACCTCAGGGACTACACTGAGAATGTAGTGTACATGTATCTCATGTACACTATTTCCTCAGTAATAATTTAACAAATAGAATCAGTAATGCTGGCTGTTCATATTGCACATGGGTTCAGTGGACCCAACCACAACTGGAATCCGATATGAAAGTGGTGCCATTATGGAATATAAAATTATATTCAAATAAAGATACTCTTTGTTTATCTTCATTATTTGACAACATATACATATTAAAGCAAAACGGGACGAGAAGAGACCACAGGCACAGTTAACAAGATGCTTCTTCAATGGTAAATTCTGTTTTTCGAATGTTCTACTTGCTTTGGTTTTCGGTCCATTTGACACACTCAGATCTACACGAGTCCATAAGTCTGCGTCCACCAGATCAAGGTGGGTTAGAAACCACTGAACCATTCTGTCTCCTGGAGGGCAGAACAACCAAAGCTTAACCACCGCACCAAACCTCCAACGGACAATCTCAGAAAGCCAATGATGCTGCCCGACCCCTGCACAGCCTGTTGCCGTGGTAACAGTGCGGCAAGTACCTCGGTGTCTGTTCACGGTTATGGGTGTCTGTTGCCATCCTTCGGTGAAGGGATTAATCATTACTCTGATGACCTAGTGTTGAATCAGGTTGGCACTGCTGCGCATCTGACCGACTACCTGTCCGTCTGCCGACAAAGCATGTGACACCTGGCGGATACACGCACACCCCTTCATTCCTTCATCTGCTCCAGCCACACGGAAATGGGGCACATGCACTCCCAGCTGGACAGTTCTCTTTGGCACTAACATTGCTTCTTGTTTTTGACGAGAATGTTATTTTTCAGCCTCTATGTTTAGAGCGAGCAATGTTTTCGGCGATTTTGGTATTTCAAAACCTTCTTTGACTGTAGTGGGTTTATCAATTAAGATCATTTTCTGTGTTTTGTACCTTTAAGATTAAGATTGCTTAACCACACAGTTTGTCTGTGTTTTATTAGTATAGTTTTTGTTTAACTGTAATTATTTTCTTTCTTGTCTTTCTGTTTTGGTTTAGTTTTCTTTTATTTTAAACCTGTTGCTCTCATACCCCCCCCATTCAGGTGGTGAGTCTGCGGTGGTGAATTGGTGTGTATATATATATGTATAGTATATAGCACAGAGAATCATATCTGGGTAGTAAGTATCCTCGTTTAATGATGATGTAAGGAAAAGCTCCCTTGCTGCTTAGCAGTGGTGTGCTGTCATTCATGGTATTGGTTAGCACACCTTCTAGGTGTAATAAAAGTGATCTCATCTGCCAGGAGCCGTGCTTTTATGTTTCAAAAATAAGTAGTAAGGCCAAAAGAGCTTTTGATACAGTTGGAGACTTCACCTTGACTCTGACATGTGGCCTGAATGTACTTTCCGATATGTTCTTGGTATTCTTGGTTGGTATTCTTTCTCAAGAAACGTTGACACAAAAAACTTTACTCTTATCCCTGTTTGTCTTTGGTTCCACATGTAGTACCACAAAGTTTAAAGGTTACGATGTACACAAGCAAGTGTAGTAGTTGAAATATATATTTTGTATTCCTTAAACTATGAACCTTATATATTAAATTATATGAAATATTAAAATGAAAATTGAATACTTTAATAGATGTTTTATTTAACTTTGGCATGCAAATTGTGTCAATAAAGTGTAAAGTGTTTTAACACAAATAGTATCTCTAATAGTAATTCAGCAATGCTATCAGTGCTAAACGTACACTGAGGAAATGGAGTCTTATTCGCATTGGAAAAACACTGGACTGGTCTACTTCCAGCTATCTGCTAAAGTTTAATCTAACTCTAACAATCCAACAGGTTTCATCCGAGTCAAAAGGAAAAGGAATTGTAGTAAATATTACTGAGGCCGCTGCAGACAGCAGGCTGGACTCCCGTCGTGCGCCGTGTACAAATTGCACCAGATTTGACACGGTACTCCCCTGCTTCCCCAACAACACACCCAAATGAGAAGTAGAGTAGATCCATGATTGTCGAGATGCAAAGGACATGTAGACCTACAGACAGAATGAGTTTTATGGATGATGGCATTATAATAGATCGAAACAATACATTTCTGTAGAAACACATTTTAGTTTGAAGAGGAGGGGCTTAAGCCGAGTTAGCCAAGTTGAGATCTTGTATAATTCAATGCTAGGTTTGTTCTTTTGTGTCTTTCAGCCTCCAAACTTCAATTTAGATTTACAATCAGGCTGCACCGAGGTCTCATAGTGAGTCATTGTAGCCTCGTTGTGGAATGCCAGTCAATTTCAGATCAGTGCTCGGGGTGAATCCCTGCAACATGTGGTTGCTCCAGCAACAGGAAGATGACACGACAGGAAAATCATCCTGTGCTATTGTTGAAAATTGGTTTCTTATCCTTTGCCAGGAACGTGACGTGACAGTAACTTAAAGAGAAAGAAAAAAATGAGCATTACAATAATCAGAAGAGCCATTTCAGTTTTGTAATTAAACATAACACTGGAGCCAGATAGTGAGCTGTACCCTCTGGGAGGCAATCTGCAGCCCAGTGCTGCAAACTTCACACAGAAAAGCGCCACCTCTACACACAGTAAATGTTTATTCAACTAATCATTCTGAAGATGCTTCACTGCTAACTGTCATCTCACGGAATGCTCCTGTTTCAAGTCTGAACAGGTTTAAAATTTAGGACATTGATTGCTGCCGTGGTCTATGTATTTGAAAAATGATCCTGGCAGGGCTAGAAAACACATTGATTTCCTCTCCGGGGTTTATTGGTTTATGAAATGCAATATTCCCCCTGTCCCCCTGCCCAGGCTGAGGAACTGCGTCCAAGGCCTATATAAACAAGAGCTTTAGCGAATTTAGTAATTCAATCACACGCCATATTTTTCCTCACTTCACCCTCTTTACAAAACTAACAAAAATGTCTGCTGTCAAATGGAAAAACACAATAATAATCCAATTTATATAACCAATCTCCGTTCAATAAAGGTTTTCCCCTTTCATTTACAATCATTTAATGGGAGTCATATTATTGTTTAAAAGGTTTGTCACATTATGAGGCAGCTGACAGACCAGCTATGCAACAATTTGAAGACTAGGCTTTGTTCTTAAGTAAAGTGATCAATAGAAAAAAGGTAAAATAAAGTTATATAAAAATAATATTGCTAATATTCATGATACAACTTGACTAACATGTATATTATTGTAGATTAAAAAATGGGAAAGGGACAGTTATATAACCTAATTAGGAGCTTAAATTCCTAAATTCCTACAAACATGTAACAGCTCGGTAAGCAGCTGAGAAAATGAAAAAACACTTCCCATAATTAATCTCCTACACAAACACATTTTGTTTCAACATATTTAGAGATGTAGTGTACAGTTTAGACTTGCATGAGATATGCTGACAAAAAAAACATAAAGACAACAGTCCCCCAAAATAGGGACCTAAGACTTTTGTAAATGGATCTCTTGAAAAAACCCTAATGAGTCCTGATGTCGCTTAAAGAGGACAACTGTCCCTTTAAAATGACATCACGTGTGAGGGGGTGTGGCCTTACCAACTTGCCTTTGGCGGTCTTTTCAAAATGGCAGCCATCGCGACAAGAATAATGGAAATAAGAAAGGTAGGCCTGAAATTTATACATAAAATTTTTTTTGTGTTATATTTATATTGGTTTTAGCAAGTAAACATCTAAGGAGTAATTTGAGTGAGTTTTCAGAGCTTAGTTTATTTATTGTCATGGGAAAACAACGAATCTATAAATGTACACTGTAGTGCGCGTCAGGACTTTGAACTTATTTCAATCTTTCTTACTGTTGAATCAACATTAGGGAAGTTGTATATCCTGAAATGACTAAGTGAGTCCATTTAAAAACATCCTTAATTATGTGTAGCTATGTATTTGGTAGTAATGTGACTCTCCCCTCTTTATGAAAGTCAAAGATACTTTATTTACATCACTATTTCTGTTTGTCCAATACATTCAAAACTAAAAACATTCCCGTCAGCCTTCCACCAGCTGTACTTTGTGCTATTTATCAAGCGCCTAAATGCTGACACACCAGGTATAAACATTATATCTGCTAAACATGAGCATCGCTCCATTGAAAGCACATAAGCATGCTAAACTTAGCTCAAAGAACTGTGAGGACATTATCATATCACAGTCATGTTGGATTAAGGGGTACACATCTTGAAATTGAGTCAAAGGAATTGCATCTCTGTTAAAGTGTGGTCATAGATGGCCGATCAAAAGAAAATAAATAAGGCATGCCACCCATGAATTTGATCGATACTGTAAAACATTTTTTTAAACAAATAAGGTGTTGCAGTAAGCTAGAGCACATTCATTTCTGTACATTCACATTCAAAACAGTTGAGGCACAAATACAGTTGTTCAAAAAGGAGAGCTCGTATCATCATAACATCGACCTGAAATTCCCTCCCAGTTATTGTAACCTTTGAAGCTCAGTGAGGTGCGGCCTAATTGAGGGAGAGGTGTGAGTTCATTTTGTTACGACAGGACTGTGACCTTCCCCCAGAATATAAATATTAATGTCCATAGAGAGAGGAAACTCATTAAAATATCACAGAGACATGAAAGGTCTACTTGTAAAACTGCATTGTTGAGTAGAATTTTCAGTGTGAGTCTGATCTCGGAACGACTACAACAGCCTGCACCGCACTACAGGGCTACATTAGTTTTAGTCCACAGACAAAAAACACACATCCCTCTGCCATTTATGTATTTATTACTTTACCCCTCCCCCCCCCCTGCACCCCTTGTCACAGTCTCTGCAGCAATTCATGTTTTAACGGCTCAATCACAAGCATAATGAACCCTCTCCCATGTGTCCTACGCATGTGAGTGGTGTGGGCTTCCCCCCCAGTGTGGATGTGTTGGCATAGAAACAAGAATGTGTATTGAATTCCCACCTGTCCCCACAGTGAGGAGAGCATGAGACCATCCCCTCCCCCCACCTATTACACAAGAGAGTAGGGGGGCAGATTCTTTCAAGATTTCAGCCAGCACATACAATTCACTGCACTCCAAACTGGATGTTCCTTCACAGTAAAACCTTCTACTCACTGGGTTAACAAAAAACCTTTGAATGCTCCTGAATTCCGCTCTTTTGTTTTAATTGACAAGTCGTTATTCAGTCTGAATATTTTGTATTATTATGATTTACCTTTTGTTGGCCAACCTCACTTTTTTCATTGTTGATATATATTGATGCAATACTTTGTATTACATCTTATAAATGTATTCACACCATCTGCTGTTTTTACTAACCCTAACCCTATTATCTAATTAATTGTTCCACCATTGACCGAATTATAATACATCAATTAATAAAATACTCTTTGCAAATTTGAAATAGTCTGATAGGGGTGAGGGGGGCACAATGGACCAATCAGCTGGTGTAGAATGAGGAATGAACATTTTCCTTATGGGCGACAGCGGTTTTAAGCTCGGTGTCGCCACCTAGTGGCGCGCGAGTGTAAACCCCCGGCTGCCTCCCTTACATCTTCATCCTCTAAAATAAGACCACGGATCCCAAGTGGCAAGTTGTCACAATTACTTTTATTGTAAAGGTGATATTATTCCAAAATATGAATATGTTAGAGGAACAGAGATAAAGAAAAGGAGGAGAAGACATATAGAAAACAGCAACACAAGACTTTATATTAACAATCTTGGGACATGTTCTTATCAAAATTTCCACAGAAAAAAATAGCACAATTGTCTCACAATGCTCCAAATCATATAGATCTCAGTCCTGGTGCATCTACATGTATAACAATCTATAGCTGGATAAAAAGCCAACTGGGAATTTATATCCTAGAAACAACTTAGCTATCGAAAGCGTATAAAACACTGGAATGGCTGCGCCCCTGTGCTTTAAAATCTGGAATATACTGTACTACTTAAGAAAACCACAAGGTATAACAGTTATTTATATTATTCAATCAATTGATATTTAATAATCATATTTTTCAAGATATATTATACCACAACACGTTTACAGTAATCTTGCAAAATAACTATTTCAAAAGCACAAAATAATTAGCCTAGTGTAAATCCAGAGTTTGCCAGTAAGTTACCAGGTTTAATTTCATCTTCTCTTGGTGACAACAACCCGAGCTCTGGATGTAACCTGGACAGCTTCAAGCATGTGCTGTTTCAACAGAGTGCATTGGATCATTGTGCAACAGTGTGCTGAGTCCAGTCCCGTTCCCTGCTCCATAGTCGTCCCCTCCCTCCCTTCAACTTCGCCCTCCTTTCCCCTACTCGCTACTAGCAGGGTTGCACATTGCACGCCCTGATCTCCTTCCTGTCCTTGCAGCTGGACAGCTGCGCAGTCTTAAACCTCTGCTTAACTGTCATGAGCCGTTCTTGGATACCTCCGCCGCACAGCTTGGTACACTCTGTCCAACTCGACCACGGCCTCATCTTGCACCCTAAAGATCGCACCCAAGAAAAAGAGAGCGAGAGAGAGAGAGAGAGATTATCACAATAACGCTTCTCTCAACACATTTTCTTCATTATCTGTGTGGCATTTGAGTTCTTAATACAAACCCAGATGCTCTGTGGCGACCTCAGCCGCGCCCTGTTTGCTCCTCCTCTTTTCACGCTGTTCCTTGCGGCGTTTCTTCTCATCGCTGTTCGCCTGTCCTCGGTTGCACTTCCTTATTTTGCACTTCTTCCTCTGGATGGCCTCGGGACACGTGTCTCCTCCAAACTGAGACTCAAGCTTTACGACGCGTGTCCGGATGGTGTGACCCTTCCCACAGGACTTGTTGCACTCGGACCACTCGGTCCACTCTGACATGACGCAGTCGATGGCTGAGGAGACACAATAGACATGAGAGTGGTACATTATTAACTAAAGGACAAAGATAGACAGGGTTTGATTCAATGTTCCGTGTACTGTACTGTCATCGATTATATGGGAATCCATATTCAGGGAAATGTGTTTAATTGGCATAATTTGGCAGTTTAAATTCAATTAATAATTCTCGAATTTTGTTTTCATTTTCCGTGCACCAAAATAACACTGACATCGTTTTGATTTGAATCACTTGAATTTGTTTTTTAAGTAACCGTCAAAGTAAAATACTTACGACACTCAGGCAGCATGCACTTCTCCACCTGTTCTATCTCTTCTGTGCACTCCCCCAGCTCCACCGGGGACTTCAGCATGCGTTGTCGTGTCCTTGAACCCTTTCCGCAAGTCACGCTGCAGTCGCTCCATGGAGACCATGGAGTCAGCATGCAGGGGATCGTGTCTGTAACAGAACAGGAGGCACACACATGTTTGAATGACATGAACTCAAACTGATCACATTGCATCATAAATAGCTGCAGCAAAACAGTACTTGGTGTTTTAATCATGAAGGACAAGTGGACAAAATCTCACACACAAGTTTTATTGTTATGAGATAATAGTTTAATGGTGAAATAAATAAAAATTCATACGATTAAAGTTAAGAGATTTGCTAAAGCAGTAATACATGTAAACTGATCTTCAGCCACCTTGTACCGTGTGCCTGGTTGCTTAATGAGTCAAACGCCCACCAGGTGTCAGTATACTCACGACATTCTGGCATCATGCACTTCTCCACTTCTAACACCTCAGCCCCGCAAATGGATCCGTCTGCAGGAGGCATCTTCACCATGCGCTCTCTCCTCTTCATGCCCACTCCACAAGTGGCACTGCAGACGTCCCATTCACCCCATTCTGTAACAAGACAGCTGCTGGAAGCTGAGGCCAGAGAGGGAAAGACGAGGCACAGTAAACCTACAATGTCACATTGGATCTATAGTGTGAATGATAAACGTGGCAGGGAAAAAGGGAACGCTCACAGCATTCCTCGTTGACCACACAGTTGTCCGTCTCCTCCGTGGGCAAGCTGCAGAGTGAACCATCATCAGGGAACTGCTTTACGTAACGCTCCCGAGAACGTGTGCCCATCCCGCAGGACAGACTACAGGGAGACCAGGTGATCCACTCCGATAACATGCAGGTTGAAGCATCTATGAGTCAAATTACAAAAAGGGAGATGTTTGTAAGATTTACCAGATGTTTTGACCAAAGATTTCTTTACTTTATTTTCATTAACTTTTGTATTATTTATTTATTTTTAATTAATTTTCAAATATCCTTTTCCCTTTTATTAATAAAATTTTTCCACCCAATATATTTCTATTGACATTTGTGGACCTGTTTTCATTTGAACTTTTTAAAGCTAAATCTTCTTTTTAATTTTCTGACCTTGTATATGTTTAATTTTTCCCATGTAACTACTACACACACGTGCTGTCTACCTCACTGCAGGAATGCCTGTGGACAAGATGAGTAAATATATGAGTTAAAAGGTGATTTTAAACACAGCACCATTGCTCTTGTGGCAAATCAGTGAAACTTAACAGATATTTTTTTATAATGACATTTTTCATGATTGCCATTTAAAGAGTAACCCATTTTTAAAAGTAATTATAACTATGTTATATTGATTAATAAATCAATTAAAAGCCAATGACTAATTTTGATCTCATAATTCTGGGGTTAGGGCATAAGATCCGATCTCAGCTAATGTATGAAGGTAAAGCACAGGCTAAACAATAGAACAGGGACAGTTTCTTATTAAATTGGATCTTTACCTTATTTCACTGCACCGGAAATGAAATGGTGATTGTGAGATTGAAATGCCAACCTTCAGTTTAGGTTTCAGGGTGTGTACAAACACCAGACTAATTATATATTTCAGACATTATAACCCATTTTACACAACATTTTCTACAAATGAATTGACTCAGCGCCGCTTATGCAGTCGGCTATGGTGAAGGACACCAGCGTGTGTGTGTGTGTTACGTGCGCTCAAAGGACAAGCAGCTCTACTTTCTGTGCTTCTTTTTCATCTTCAGCTACAACCCTTCACGCGGCTACTCACCCTCATCACTGCATCCGGGCCCCATGCACGGCTCAAAATCCTGGGTGTGGGGGCAGGGCACACTAAGGTCCAACTGGGCCTTTAGCATCCGCTGTCTCATCCGCTTGCCCTTATCACAAGTGGCCGAACTGCATGCAGACCACGGAGACCAGTTTGAGTAAATACACGTCTCGGGGGTATCGTCTGCAAGGGAATAAAGATGCTATAATAGCTGTACACTGTTAACTAGACTTTACATATTGTATATGTGTGTGTGTGTGTGAGAGAGAGAAATGGAAGCAGGATCCAGACCTTCCTCTTTCTCCTCCTGGGCAATATCTGCTACAATGTCGTCCACGTTGTCCGGCACAATGTTGCACTGTTCGCCCTGCGGATGCACAGAGGCACAGTTATGTGGGGACGGACACCAGCACTCGGGTGCTTTGTTGTTTTATTCAGATTTTTGATTTATATAAATCCTTTGATTTGTTTTCGCTATAACAACAATGAACGGCTGAGATTAGTTTTTTTTTAAGGATTGTATTGAATACAAGTACATACATTTTGTAATTCTTAAAATGCAGACTGAGTATGTCTGCATGTGTTGTAATTAAATGATGACAAATGAAATCACGAGAACTCCCCACAGCTGCCTCTAGATGCCACTAAAAGACTGCAAACCTTTCATCCATCTCTGGTTGGAATTTTACCACCATCGCATAATAAAAACAGTATATTTCAGAGGTGAATTGTAATAGCAGCCTTACACCTAAACTGATACGTGTTTTAATCATCCTTTTTAGCTTCCAGCTTTATGTGTTTTTTATTGGCTTAAGAATAATGGTTATGAAGGGTCAGACATTACCTCTTTTTTGTCAACACTCATCATCAAATAAAACCATAAAATACCAATTCTTTATAAAAAAAATAGGAAAATTACCAATACACCCACCCACTACTGTCTGCAACTTTCAACACACGTACATTTGACTGCTTAAAACGCATGCAAGTACAACAAATTCAAGTCTGATTTGTATATCATTTCACTTAACACTGAATGACGGTCTGGGCGTTTACCTTCATGCTCGATGCGATGCTTGTACTATAATAGTTATCGTTGGAATTGACAAAGTATCTCCACTTGCATCAAGAGTGCGTACAGACAAACCTTTCTGGCAATGCGTTCCACCATCACCCTGGCCACTGGGGTGATGGGTCCCCCTTCAGGGTCATAGAAAGGGCTCTGTGGATGATCCAGGCTGGTCAGGGGACGAATCTTGCCCGGGGACAAAGCAGGCTTATTGGGAGACTAAAAGACACACACAGAAAGACAAGAAAAAATACAAAGCAGCAGGGATTTAAAAAAAAATAACACGGTCACGATTGTTTCCCATCAATTACAATCAGCACAGAGTCGTTCAAAGTTACACAAAGCACAAGTCACACACGGGACATAGAGTCGTAAAGCAGCTGTGTTGTATATGGGTGATGCTCTTATTGGTCCACAGCAGAGGACGGAGGACGGCCAGCATGGGGTTGATAGAAGCACCACCGCCAGAGGCTGTCTGGCAGCAGAAGACTAGCTCGTCCCTCAACCCCCGCTGAGACCAAAACCGAAAAACAAAAACAGCAGTTCTGTTTGTGTTTTTGGGAGCGAGGTAGATGGGGAGAAGGGTAATGAGAGGCCGCTAATTAAAGGGTACAGTACAAGTAATGGCAGAGAGAATGGATCTCACTCAGTTTGAAAATCCCAGCTGTACACAATTCAAATTCTGCACGTTCAGTTTACTGAATGTTTTACAGATGATTTCCTGTGATATGTTTTTCTGTGTTTAAGGATTAGGGAATTGTCCAATAGTGCATGCGACAGTTGGCCAACTGAAGCTGGGGGTTGCTGCAAAAAAAATCATAAAACAGTGCGAACAGAGCTTTTTTCTAGACAATAGAGTTTAATTTAGTGGGTGTGAGCCACAAACGTGTCAGCAGGGACAGGCATGATGTACAAAGGAGAATATGTGTGTGTGAAAGAGAAAGAGCCAGACACAAAAACAGAAGACAAAGAGGAAGATGACGGGAGACAAATGTAGTGGGTTCATGGGTGAGCTCCAAGGAATCATCCAGAGTTTTCACCCGTGTCTTTAGAGTTTACTAAAACACGCACATGCATTTAATATATCGGTGCTGACGGGCAGGTGTAAATGGCTGTTTATGGACCATCGAAGGACTGATGACACTTAGACTGTTGCAACAGGCAGAACGTGAGGAGGCAGGAGAGGGAGAGATTGCGGAGGTGAGCAGACAGGCAGATGAAGGGGAAAAGGTTGCCGGAAAGAGTCAAGGTCAAAAACGCAATTGTGAAGAGAAGACTGAGCTGAGAGAGTCTGAGAGAGTGAGGAGGAAGGTGATCGCTGAGGTGATTGTTGAGGGATTATCGGGTTAAAACCTCAGTTACGTCACACATTCAGGTGAACATGTATTGTATTAAGGTAATAATAGATTATTTTACTTAGTTAGTTTCTTTTCCGCCAAGGTTTAAAATAAAATATCATTGAAACAAATTGAAATTTGAATACATCTGAGAACGCAATTTTACAAAATAGTCAACAGAGAAGCAATGGGTCACATGTACCTTTCACTAAGCTCGTACAAGGACACTTTCTAGATTTTTAAACATATCTTTTTGAAAAAAATATGCATTTTGAAAGTTTCTGTGCTTCCTTCAAAAAATAACCTGGAAATGAATACCAGTTATGCTCCACCAAAGGAATCACGTAACATCGTAATACCCATAAGCACACATAACAGAAAGAGGAAACATTGCTGGTTTAGCAGCTAATTACTGAGATGACATTTTTTTGTAAATTATTAGCAATTTATTTTTCACACTGACCTCATATGTCACCCCTGTGTCCGTGCCTGCATCCCAGGGGATCAGGTCCTGGACGACCTTCTGGACCCAACCACACTCCTTAGTACACAAGTCCTCAGCAGACATACCCACGTTCCAGTCCGGGCTGGGCCCCAACATGGTGAGGAAGGACATGAGATGACGACTCCGGTCCACTGAGAACTCAGCCGAGGGGGCCGCGCGCCTGAGGAGGGGAGCGAGAATGAGGTGTGTGTTCAAGGGGGCATGCAAGTGTGAGTAAGGGGGAGAGAGATAGAGAGAGAGAGAGAGAGAGAGAGAGAGAGAGAGTGAATTGGCTTAAAAAGTTTGGTAGTAAAAGCTCCGGATGAAAGTTGAGACATTTTTACTGACAGGTTTCCAGGTTAACACTAATACCGCAACGAAAACAGGAAGGTAACAATTCAAAACCAGACTCTGAACAGGAGGCTATGAATAATTGAATGCAATGTCAGACAGTGGGAAGGTTTATACAATATAAACAGTATGGTATGCCCAAGGCTTTTGGCCCCGTCGCCACTATTATAGGCTGTGTCCCGATACCAATGACCATCAGCTGTCTAATACAGATAAATACGCACGTATAGCAGCAAAAGATACACAATCTTGACTGAATACGTACGTTTTTGCTTCCAATTATAAATGGAGTATACTCGGTTTGTTCAGATTGATATGATGTGAAATAAAGTACAGCTCCTGTTATTAATTAAACTGCATTTATTAGAGTCCGAGATCATGTGTTTCGGGGTGTTAGAACTCACTCGCACCGTTTGGAAGCTCACATGGAAGTGGGAAACGGAAAGATACTTCCAGTGCCTCTGTAAAGAAAGACTGGCAAATATTTAGTCTAGACTCACACTGCCAGACCACGTCTGGCTCCACTGCACATTCGCTCTCTTCCAGGAGGCGAGACACATCTCTGACTGTCTGTCTTGACCAAGGATTGACAGCCGGACTAATTAAGAATTTTCCCTACACAAGACGAATTAGGAGCGGGAAGAATCTTGTAACACGGACAACTTGTTAGTGTTCTTTCTCTCACCTGTCATCACGCTCCATTTCACTGCAGCTAACTCTGTCTCTGCCCTTGTACACTCGACTAATGAAAGCCTACGAGGAAAAGGGCCGTTATCCTCTGAGAACACACAATTCGACTTCAGTCTGCAGGACTTCTGCTCAGCGAATACTGCAGTCAGAGGTTTATTAGGCCGCTACTTGGACTCTACAAGAAATGTAAAGTGCAATTGACTGAAAAGGAGAAACTGGGCAAGTCTGATAGCAAATGAGCAAGGCATCAATCAATCTAGGGGGAAAAAAAAGTCCCTTTGTCAGTCCAGAATGTTCTCTGAGAGTGTAGGTGTGAGTTCTACAAAGTGTTATGGTGCTGCCTCATTGATTTTTGAAAATTGGATTGATTGGAGCTTCACTTTGCTTTACAAGCAACTGCACCAGAGGTTTTACCAGATTGTGGTCAATAATGTAATAGAAAAAATGTTAGTAAATTGTCAATAAGTAAAATATGTAGACAACATTGTTTAAACATTCAATTAAACTACTTTGTTAAAATCTGCTTTGTTTATAAAAGCTTCATATTTCACAACAATGACAACCTGTTTATATTTTTAATTGCTTAAAGCTACAGCGGAACACAGCTGGACTGGGGATACAAAAATGAGATAGTTGAGTATCATTGACTTACTGTAGCAGTCGCAACTATGTTAATCAAGAATAAAGTTAATTGATAAAAGATGGAAGGATACCGGTGGGGGAACGTCAGGGCCAGCAATGCTTTCTTTGCTGACATAATCATTTAATTTTGATATATTTTCCACACAAATATGTAATAAATGTTTCCCCAAGGTCTACTCCTTTCCCTTTCTCTTGGTTCCGCTGCTTCCAGCCTCAAGTCGAAAATATGTTATATAAATTGTTCCACTCAATACCTGTGCACGTCGGCTCCTCTGTAAGCCTCTTGTCTTTAAAGAAGCACAATAATTACAACAGCACTATTATACATGTGTTAGGCAAGAAAAAGAACTCACTCAGACACGTGTCCAGGAAACCTTGATATTCATAATATTTATTGGTTGGTGGAGGTTTTTATAATCACAGAGTTTTAGGACCGACTGAGACATTTGCATGGGTTGATTGAGATCAGATGGAGTATATTAGTCATTTAGAAATGGCATAAAATCAGATTTTATATAACACCTTTAGTGTAAAAAATGATGTTGAAATGAAAGGCCGATAAAATGTGGCAGGTTTCTCTTAGCGACAAAATGACTTAGTCGATAGCCAGTCTGGGACCAAAGCAATTGCAATTTTAGTGGACTACATAGAAAAGCACAGTTTGCCACGGCTGCAGTCATACTGCTGTGATAATGGCTGCCACTTCAGCTCCAGTCCTTTGTCATCCTCTACCTCTACCCTCCTTCTTTGTGCTTTGCACTCGGTTCCCAAAATAATTTTTCCTCTTACAACCAAATGAAATTGCTAAATTGTTTTGAGAAGAGGCACTAACCTGAGACGAAGCACGTAGTCTTAACCAAAAGCCTCATATCACTTATCACATGTTTTCCGTTCTCCCTCTCTGCCTCTCTCTTCCTATCTCTCTTATCAAAACAAGGACTATTGAAAGCTATAATTGACGGTTATTAAGTCTAATTTAAAGAAAAGCTTTCCGTTAAATGACGGCAAAATTCCCTCATTATGCTGAAATGCACAGACCCGAAAAAGCACAAACATGTTTTTGTGCACGGAATAACTGTAAATAAATTACGCAAACAAAACTCATCCAACTCTGAAAACTGTTTTGACATAAATATGCATGCATGCATTTTTCATGCAGCACATTATAGCTAATGAACTCTCTGAGGACCCTTTTAATACTTAAAAGGGTACATTTCCCGTTGACTGGGTAAAAACGTGACTTTACTTTTTCCTACTTCCATGGTGACGACACTTTCATGTAGTTATCAATGCAAAACGTCCTTTCTTTTTGTTGCTCATAACCAACATAATGGGTCTGCTGTGCCATGCACAATCCGTGTGTAACACAAGTAATTAGGAGCCTGGTCAGCATAGAGTGTCTAATTAGTTTCTATCAATACTTCCATTCCTTTGGTCTTTAATGTGGAGTTTAGATCTCTCACTGACGGCGAGTTTTGGGAGGAAACCGCACTGCACAAGCATTTGCAACTGAAGTTCTCTTCAGCTTACTCAGCCAACAAGCTTTTTATTTTTCTCATGAATAAGAGATTAAATGGCCTGCACGCTGTAAGCATCTCGTGGCAGCGCACCTTTGAGCTGTTTTTTACTTATTTTTTTACTGATCAGCAAACTCTGGGTCTAACTTTACCATGTTGAGCCTACGGTATCATATACGTGTATGTTGATTAATTTGAATGAATTGGTTCACCAGTGGTGATTATTTAAAAAAAAGAAAGCATTTCATAAAGGTTTTTAGATTGACAATCATTACACTAATTGTGATTTGGTGTGAGTTGAAAACTGCTTTGGACAATCCATCACAGTGAACAGAACCACAAAAACAACAGGACTTTACTGTTACGTTGTACGACCCATCCCTCCTGATCTAAATATCGTCTTGTCCAGTGTAATCCTTTGTTCATTTAACCTCTCACATCTGTTACTAAAGAGTATCAGTGGCAGTTGGAGAATAACTCATAAAATGGAAAGTGAATCCCAGTTTCTTTTTTTCCCTATAATCTGTGATTATTGAAAAGATGATGAAGATGCATCTTTGACTTGAGGTGTTCATTCTTGTAATTCTTTGTCTCAACGCCCCAAAAGGAAGCAAGATAGATTGTTTGATTAGGATGTCATTCAGAAATAGATTTGTTTTGCCAATAATTTAGAAAAAAAATGTGTTGCAAACAATGAAGGCAAACATTTTGATCTTGAGTTCGCTCTCTTTAATTTTGAACTTGGTGGATATATATGGAGCACACTGATCAGGCTCATGCATTTGTGTAAGACCTAAGAAGTTTGAAATAGTTATATGCATCACACAATAATACAAAACGTCATTCATTCACGCATTAGTATATATATTAAGACTATATATATATATATAGTATGAATGCACCCGATACTGAATTATTTACACTATGATATGGTGGGTCTTCTGTTCCCTATTGTCTTGAATATCTTGGACAGCATGATGATACACAAAACCTCTATAGCAGCATTAATACGAGCGTGCATAATTGTGTTAAGTAAAATGTTTGATTAAACTTGCAGAACCAGCAGCACTCAGCAGCAATCAGAAGCAGATGTGTAGTGAGTAATATGATAATCAGGATGTATTACTTACACATTAAGTGGTTGCCAAGCCGGCCACTGCGCTTTCATTTTGATGACTGTCAGGACGTCATCACCCTGATGAGGGGGGACAGAAATAAGGTACACAACATCATTTAATCATTGAAATAGCTGATGAGCCACTCTGGAATAATCCCGCTCAGTGATTACTGAAAGAGGGATAACTGGACTATTTCTTTCCATTTCTCAATTTAATGGAGAAAGGCAGCGGTCTGTGATTAAAAGAGCCAAAGCAGGGTCCATTTGAAACGAGTACAATCCGAAGAAATCTGTGACCCTACAATCTGCTTTACACTTGGAGACCAAAGGACACACTTGAATTGAATTATAATGCTAAAAAATAAATTATTGTACAGGATGAAATTGTTTTGTTTTGTTTAGCATTTGTGTTATCGCGTCGAACCGCTGTTGGATGCAATTTATATTTTGCCCATGAGGGAAACCTAAAATACTCTTAACTGTTGAGCAAGGTTTGTGTTAACATTAGTCTGTATTTACCCTCAGATACCGAGCTGGGATGAGAATCTATAATGGTGAAAATGAATTCTGCCAGTGTGAGGATGAATCAAACTTGCAGCCTTCCAGGCGAATGCCCACAGCGCGGCCGAGAGCCACGTCACAAATGTTCTCCTAACACGATGCAAAACAGATTAAGTGTTTACTTTCCATGCAAGTTGATTGCTTTCACAACACAAAAGTGTGTAAGTCTATTCACAATGTGCTATTATTATGCAAGAATGTCAGTAAACCTGCACCTAACCTAATACACGTCTATTGCTCTGTGTTATTGAATTCCATCTCAGCAAATCTGACAGGCAGATAATGAGCACCACAGACTAATCCTGTTTCACATTCAAGGATGTTACCGATCAGTTGTCCTTGTGCAGAGGATTAACAATTCAACACAGTATTGCATTCTTTGGGAAGCTTCAGGTAAACATTTTAGCCACTATTGAATCCTAATCAGTGCAGCTGACAAATGCAAAAAGATAAGGTGCTATTTCTGATTTGGGGTTGATCAGGTGAATTGACACAGTGATCAGTGTTTTGGTTAGTTCCTCCACCATAAATCAGATTTTTTTTTAAAGATTTGTTGGTGCAATTTCTTAAGTTATTGCAGATTGCAAATAAAAAATGAAAAGATTTCTAAATGTGATGCAGAACAGACGTTTTTATTGTCTAACTTCCCTTGCTAAAGTTGAAATGAAAGGAGCTTGGAAATGCAGTTCTTTCGAGGAACAGAGCTGGCAAATATTCCTCGACACCTTAAAAAAGTGATACCTACTAATTACCAGAGACCCACCTCTTAGTAATTCCCTGGACATTTTGATGGAATGGATACGTTTTATAATTAATTGTCGACTTTTCAGTATTCAGTCCGCATGCTGTAGCCAGAGGCTCATTAGCCCCTCCGATTAGTACTATTATTTTTATATTTCCTTATCATTTCCATCATCAGGGACCTTCTCTGTATGTGAAGATGTATTTAATTTACGTATCTGCTTAAAAAAATGTGCTGGTCTTTCTTAATCTCTTCATTGCATGTTTCTGTCATATTTGTGAAACCCTTACAAAAATATGGGCTCTACTTGGTCGTGTTGCAGTTTGATTTGCGTACAGTTTGAAATGCAGCAGTTTTTTTGTCATGTATGATATTGTAAACTGCTGTTGTACTGGAGAGGAAGCAAAGATTTCTAATTGTGTTCTTCCTGTAGAGATAAACATATTAAAGCACGCTGCCATGAGAAACTGACTTCTGACGCTTCACACAACCTTGCTGTGTAGTTTAATGATCGGTAGCAATGACATCATCGGCTTATTGAGCGACGGTGTAACAGATCGTTACCTTGTCGGAGAATCCCAAGACTCTGAACGCATTTTTAAATTAGAAAGTAAGACTGCGTTTGCAACTGTTCATTTAGTTAAACAAGTAGTGTGTCTCTCATAGCATAAAGGACACTTTTAAAAGAGTGACAAAGAGTACCCAAGAAGGACATACACAACAGACACATCCTCCTTATTGTGTGTATGTTGATGTATTTGTTCATTTGTTTAGTTTTTGGTCTTACAGACTATATGTGCAGTGTGTGTACAGTGGTTTTGTGTTAGCAACAACACTGGCATTGACTTGGCTGTTTTGGGACTAACGATATGATTTAAGGGACGATAAATTATATTGATATTGATATTAATTAAATATTGAGCCGAGCATACTGGGCAGTGTGCATGTACGTATCTCAATAAATTATAACCATTAAATATTAGCCAAGCGATAGCTTGGTTTGAAATAAAGAATACATATTTTTGACCTCTTCAATATTGTGAGGAAGGGACTAAATACCAGCAGCAGTGCCAAAACTCAAGAGTTGTATTTTATTTTTTAAATATTCAAAAATGTTTTATTTAATTTTAACTAAATAAGGTCACTTATCTGAAGATTTTATAGAAAATATTCAATTTAATAAACGTTCATACTGGTAGGTATGGTGCATATAAGTATGAAAAGCGAGCAAGTACCAATGTATTTAGTGGCAGGAAGTATGGACACTCATTAATATGAGGAGGATTTGGTGAGGGCCCATTTAGCTTTTCAGGGGGGCCGTAACATTTCACACAGCCTTTTACTTTTATAAAGTTGATTTTTGTGAAAGTGTTTTGTCCATTTAGCTGTCTTTGAAAATATTGCATTCAGTTTATTCATGCCTGAATCACACAGTATTACACCCCCATTTAAAGTATTCCCCCTAAAGGGAATTATTTAAAAGTCCACTCCCGTTTTTATGTCAAAGAGAGGGGTCGAATTTCAAAGATTAAGCTTCGTGTAAGTAGAGCTTCTTCTGCTCAGAGGGAGGCTGTTTCTAATGACAGGGATGTCTACTACTGAGCCCTATTAGCAATAGATCGTGTCCCTTCTTTCTTGCCTGTCATTTCCTTCTGCTAATTAAATACGAAGGCAAAAGTGAGTCTGTAATTCTGTTGCATCCCTCAGGGTGGTGGCTAAGGGACAACATCTTAGGAACTCATTAGAGTGGGCAGAAGAAGTGTATTGTCAGCTCATATGTTTTTCTACGGCCCGCCATTAGTTACTAATAAATTTAATTTTACTGAAGTTTGCAAAGTTAACAAGCAACGTTTAGTTGGTTACGCATGTATGAGCAGTGTTCCATACAACTGATTGACATCCTGTGCTGCCACCCAAATATGTTTTTCTCTTTTGTCAGCCTTTTTTTCAATTTAATCTTAGCCAGTGCAGTTCAGTAATTATGACCACAGAAAGCGTACCAAGGCAGTGATGGATATTTACATCAGTCTCACTAGTGCATTATTGCAAATGTAGGCCTTCATTTCTATTTGATTTGGCTTTTGACTTCAGTTACATAGTTACATTATGTGATCCCATGGGGCCATGCGTGTCCTGCTGACTGGCATCGCCCTGTTGAAGTCCGTCACAAGTCTGAGGTTCTAGTCTTTATATATTCCTTCTGTGAGGTAATACTAAAGTAGTTCATGGTTCTCTCATTTGCATGAAAAACTTTAGAAACCCTCCAGTCTTTTCCTTTTCTCCTGTGACCCGGACAAATTTATACAGTGTTTATTCTTCGTGCTCACAGGAACTGTTGGGCTACTCAGGCAATACCTTTTTTAACAGTGATTAGAGGTGAAGGATGTGGGATTTATCAGAATGCAAAGTAAAAGCACTTTAATTGCAGTATTATTTAGTGGTATAAAAGATTGTTGCCGTTCCGAGAAGCGTACGAATTCCCCCCACGGCTTGAACAAGACTACATACAATACATCAGTTCCTTATCTTCAACCTGCATCATCCATGCAACGTTTTTTAAATTATTTATCTTAGCCAAAACGGTTTTTGAAGAAAAATATTCTTGACCGAAAGCCTCCCAGTATAATAAGGATTATTAACTTGTTAGACGGGGTGGACAGTTTTTTTTTTTCACACCTGTGAGTCCTGAAAGGCAGTGACTATGGCTTAAATATGTAATCTCTTCTCTACAATAGCTTCTATTACGCAGAACAGAACTGTACGTATCCATTAGAGAAGAAACATCATGCAGTGCAGATAACAGTCTCCCAAATCTTTGATGGCAAAGATTCCTATTGCATGAATTATTTCCATCTTGTCCTGACAAGCGCTTGATTTAGCATCATCTACTTATCTCTTGGGCAAGAAATGGAAGTTAAACTGGCAGCGTTGCAATAAAGAAAAGGGTTAACAGAGTGTTAATATGGTTATATATCGCATGCTTTCTACACTGACGTTTGTAATGGTCAAATATTAATAGAGGCCGGAAGAATGACAGAATGAATAATTAAAAACGTCCAGACTTTTAAATCAACAACGCTGCTTTTAAAAATAGCTTAATGAAGCATCCTGTTATGGTACAGACATTTATTTGTTGTAAAACATTAAACAGATAATGTCCAAAAGTACGTGACCAATAAATACACAAACATCTCAGTTAAAATTGGAAGAAAAGTTTTGAGTAAGCATTTGGATGTAAAACATACCATCACTGGTCATTGCAAGCTTCAAGTAGCATCTAAAAGAAAGGTGTGTACGTGTATACATACTGTACCTTTGCTAACATACTCTGCTAAGGTTAACTCTACAGGTTTTTACATACAATCGGAGTATTATAGAAATGTTGTTCTAGCCTCTCCGGGTAAGTAGTATCCCTAAAATCAAACTTTAACCATGACCAGCTTGAAATCCAGTGTTCATGATTCCCCGTAGCTCATCAGTCTGTCTGACACAGAAACAAAAGACTATTGAGATTTTTTTTGAATCGCCTATAATATTTACACGATTGTGAAGAAAAGTGTAGTCTCAGCTCCCGGTGACTATGCAAACAATATGATGGAGGCAGCACACTATTGCTCTTTGCAATGGCAGGAAGCATCAGTCACAGCTGGAGCTTTTTTCACATCCCATTGGAATATCAGCAGCATATAATTGTATAATCACCATGCTAAAAAGATCATTAATACTAATTGTCATGCAAATACCTCTATTATATTTCACCTAGTTAATATTATTA